CCCCCCCCCCCTAAACCCCTAAGGCCTTTTGAAACTGGAGCAGGAAAAAGACATACATCTACATACGCTGCACATACCAAGCATCTGTGTTGTCAAATGATAAATATTTGCTTTTGTCGGACTTGGCACCGGGGTTGATCCTCCAAAGGATCACTGTGTTGTATGGTACTAAAGCACTGTCCACAAGTAAGAGGTGATCATAGATGGCTCACTTTCAAAATAGTTAAAAAAAAAAAAAACGCACTTATTTATGGATCTAAGTTTAAAACTGGCCTAAAACGGATAGATCATACGCAAATATATAAAATATATAACCATTGTACAGTATGTTCCCAATCACTACAACACTCCTATCCTATCTCTGTATCATGTGTACATAGCTTAACATATTCAGTGTATTGTTTATTTGAATAGAAATGCAATTCAAATACAGCACCTTGCCATACCAATGCATGCACGGCAACAATGTACAGTATATATTTAGAGTATGACCCTAGTTTTAAGTTTATTATTTTTGTTTTTTATTGTATTTTATTTCTTTTTCACCCAACCTTAGTATCCCGATTTATTTTGTAAAAGAGCCTGAAGAAAAAAGGAAAGTCTGGCAGGTTGTTTCATGCCTTTTTATGCAACTGTCATCCCTGGGAGCTTACTGCAGAGCCATGGTGCAGTGCTCTCTCTCTCTTACACGGGGAATTAGCAGACAGCATCTGATGTAATTTATTAATGGAGTGAGGGCGGGTATGCATTAAGATTGTGTGTGTGTGTGCACTGGCAATATGCGTGTATGTGCGCGCTTAGGACAGCTAGCTTTCACAGTACGCCTCCTTTCAACTCTTACTTCTTTTCATTCCAGTAGCAGGAAGGGTGATGGAGTGTGTGTTTGTGTGTGTCAAAGAGAGGGAGGGGTCGGCAGAGGGGGACTGGTAGATTAAGTCTGTGCTGCCTGCCACGGCTCTTTCAGCAGACACATTGCATTTGTTGCTTGTAAGATTAACGCCTCGCAATACCTGCGCACTGACAAGGTCGTCAGAGTTGTACTAACACAGCTATGTCTCACGTCCTGAACATTTGACCTCAGGTGGGTTCCCTAAGTAATGGAACCATTTTTAAAAAACTTAATTTCTTTAAACATGGAAAACAAAGGCAACCAGGAAAGTTTGCAATACTTTTGCTTCTACCTTTTACATAATTATAATCATTTCACACTACCTCCTTTGCCTAATTCTTATGCACAGTAAATATGAGGTGCTATTAACTTCAGGTAAAGCGTTCCATACAGAATCTGTCCTAAACTGAAGTCTCCATGTGATCGACACCTTTAACCCTTACTTTACATTTTTCTTTCGGTTGGAGGCTATGACTCTGTCCAAGAGATTGTCATTATTCGACATGGAGCATGCCACATACACAAAAAACCCTTAGAAACATCTCACCAGCATCCACTCAATCGTGTATGTGTGACCATTTATTGAAAGCTTTGTCTTACAAAGAATAACCTGCTACTTTGACACCATGGATGTATGACAAATACTGGATAGCCCGTTCCAAGATGGCACTCCACTGAAACTTTTAGTCTTATAAAGTCTTATTATGCACATTTAAGACTTCCTCTGGCTGATTTGACCACATTTCTTCTGGCTCTGCGCACACATAAACACAATAAAAAAAAATCCAAATTTTATTGGGCCAAATGGATCAAATTCAGATTATTCCAAGAGTCATTCTGGGGTGTTTGTGAAGCTCAGAAAAAAAATACTATTTGTTTTACAGCCGTTCCTCTTGTAATGATTGTGTATGGTGCAGTTTATTGCCAACATGTCTTATCTGTTTTGTTATTGGTATTTATCTTTGTTGCTGTGGGTTTTTAACTCCACTTTATTTCTGTATTATTTTAATTGCCTGATTTTATTTGTCTCAGTCCGGAAATGTTTTTATCCTGGTTCAACCAAGTAAAGCACTTTGTTTTGAAAAATGCTTTCTATATAAAGTTTATTAATAGTATTGTTATTATTATTATTTCCACTATGCCAAATCTCCTCGTAGCCCATGGGGAAATGGTTGACACCCAGTTTTGTGACAAATAAACAATAGACCCAATTTTCAAGAGGCAACTTATGCCAAAATCATCCTACTGACTGTCAGTGAAGAACAATGGTATACAAACTGGTGCCTTTATTCTATTCTTTGGAGGTATGATTTAAATACTGTAGAGCTTTTCTATCAATATCACTATCTTGAATCCTTGGACAATAGTGATAAAGTCAGAATTAATTCTGTAATTTCTGTTGCTGTAAATATTAAAGTTGGTAGGATTGTTACAGACACAATTATTTAATAAATTTCCGATTCCGATTTTCGATGTCTAAATCAGAAATGGGACAGATTCCAAAAGCACAGTTGGACTGTTTGCTCTGAAACCACCCATACTGTGTCTGTATCTTTAATCATCTAAGTAATTAAAGTGATGAGGTGTGCTATCTATTATTTTCATGTATTTAATTCTACTTCATCTTGCCATAAAAATGATTAATCCTTTTTTTTTTTTTTTTTTTACTGCAGAGCGGAGTGGAACAACCGTAGTCCCAGTGGTACATTCACTCTCCCTGTAAGACCATCTTGTCAAATATTTTCTTGTTTCGGGAATCTGTTTCCCATAATTAGTTTTAAATAGCAAGTTGGAATTGAACCTTTGCCTCTAGTTCTGCTAGGTGCTAAGCTTACAGCATCATAGGTATATATTTTAAGATGAATTCACTTTGTTTATCATGGCCAGAAAGGATATTTTTTACACTATGTTACATTCATAGCCAAGCTATGCATGTCAGGGAAAGTCTGAAGGTGTTATTCTGTAAGTTTGTGTGTGTTTAGAGAAGGGCAACTTTATTGAGGTGAAAATTACAGTCCAGTTGCAGCTAATTGTTCATTTTACAAAATACAGTGTCAAGTGTGGTGGCTACCAAAGAGGAGGGCCTGCAGTAACAATTTTATTGGACCCTCTTAGTGCGTGTTCATCAAGCTGTAAAACACCGTGTCCTTTGACAGGGGCAGCTCCAGTTCCCCTCCTCCTTCTTGTCGTTTCTACAGTTTCTCCTCATCTCCATCCACCTGTTTCTCCTTCCTGCTCTCGCGTCCTCTCTCCTTGCTCCTCATCTTTCTCCACCTCTATCCTCTGCTCTGTAAAGGCAATTGGGGCACTGCTCAGTATGCTAAGGACTACGGCGGGATGCTTAGCAGGAAGGGAAGACAAACATTGACAGGGCACTTCCATTGTGCTCTTCCCCCACAACAATCAGCACATCAGGGCCTCATTTGACTTTCCCACAGTCTGAGTCTCTTTGCTCCGGCAGTACCTCCTCCAGACCTCAGACCAGTCTGCCACCACCACTTTCTTCACTTCTTTATATCACTTTCTCTCCTCTGTTCTTATCTCCTTCCAGACAGTGTGTGGGTAACTGCAAGGGAATTTCTGTGCTAGAGGGGCAGAGAGTTTGAAAGCTGGAGGGTAAGGTTAACGCGGTGGATGGATGGATATCATATCAGTATCGATTGTTTTGGAGGACAAGACCTCCCCCCATCCCTCGTAGTGCTGTGAGATCAGAGGTGTGGCATCCATCCAGCTCAACAAACGCATAAACCATTTAGTGGGGCCACGCTGTCAAGGAGGACAGCTTCAAGCTGCATGACAAGTGTAATTTGGGGGATTTTCTGCGATGCGTCATGCCAAAGAAAACATCTCTGCTCAATAAAATAATTGGAATGTCGAGGGCAGCTCTGTCAGTTGCCCGCGAGACGCGAAATGAAACGAGGGAGAAATAGGATACATTATGTTGCCCCCTCTCAGACAAGAATGCAACCACAAACGCGCACACACACACGCAAGCACACACGCACACGCACCTCTGTCACTGCAGATGAGATGAAATGAGATAAGGAGAGCTTAAAACACATTGCATGTTAGGCGGAGATGAGAATCTCTGAGAGCCATTCCACACTCTGTTAGGCTGCCTCACAGTAAGAGCCCTTCACCTGGCCCTGTCTGCCTTTGCAGGAGGGAGGAAAAGCAGCTTATTCACACACTGTGGACTTGAGACACGTAGCAAGCTCATTGAATCTGCACTCTGCTGTGAAATGACTTTCAATGAGCTCCCAAAACAAAACCAGAGGCACAAGGTTGGGCCTGATTAACATCTGGTCGGTCCTTTTCTTCCAACATGCATCTGAGCATATCCGGAATTTGATTTATGTCTCCGCCAGGAACATGGCAGGTCTGATAGGCAAGCTCTTCTGCAGTTTACATTCTGGGCGTGTGTTGGGGTGTGTGTGTGTGAGGTAGAAATAAGTACTTCAGTTAGACGGTAGGCTTACTGTGGATCCCTTGGGCATGGCAGTCTCATCCACTAGAAGGTAAAGGATATTCAATGCCACCATAAGAACTGAGATTGTCTGCAGACAGAGAGGAAGATAAAGATTTGTTTACACATGGTATAGTTATAAAAAGATTGATCAAATCCTCAAAGTATCCAGCATCATGATATAATTGAATTGTGGGGGCCTTGCTGATCCGTAAGTATGGTAATGCATAATAACCATCTTGTGATTGTAAACTGTTCCAACATTAAGCTTCTCAAAGCCTGAACAATGTGTGGGTTGTTTGATGCACGTGCCATGCCTCTCACATGGCCTTTCTTGCCTTATCCAACAATATCAGACGGCATAAATAGTATTCCCACACTATAATCTGTTGAAAATCACAGTTGTTGCAAGTGGCTATTCAGCATTGTCTTAAACAGCTATTAAACAAAAGTAGTTTCCACACCCAGACTCTGTGGGGGAAACTGTGAGAGGATGGGGTTTGAGGTACAGGGTGTTAGTCCCAGTGGCCACCAGCCAGGCTGTATACGCCATGAGTAAACAGTTTGGGCTTAATGATAGGTCAGTCCTAGCACTCACCGTTCCTGTGAGGAGGATCAGCATCACTATGGGATACAACAAGTTCTTCTCCCAACCTGATGCTTTCTTTCTTCTCTCTGAGAGGCAATGAGAGGGAGACAAAATGTGAGGTTATTAGTCTGAAGAAATAGATGTATAAGCAACTCTTTAATAACACGATTCAGAGATGAGCTAAACTCCTCCATTACAAACCACTTTCCACCACTGGTTAATTAATACATTCATCAAAGACAACTATTGAAACCTCAAGCCCTCTGGCTTTATTTACAGGGTTTGTACAGCTTGGTTTGGTAAAACATATCGTGAGTGTGTGTATCAAACACAATCTCACCTCTCATCGCAACCACCCCCCTCCAGGGAATATACATTTCATAACCTTCAAAAACGTATACTCTTCCTCTTTAATTAGCCACACTCATCATTGCCATAATTAGTGGAAACAACAATAAATCCTGGATAAAAGAAACGCAACAAAATTAATTCTGTGATTTATATTTTGGTCAGAATGTGTGTGCATGTGGTGGGCAACTACTGTGCTTCCTTCTTCTGAGCGAGATGAAACATTTCAAGTTTGAATCTTCCATCTCCCTTATTTCAACAGCTCATCAGTCATGTTTGTAGACACTGCTGACAGCCTGTAGATCACATGCACTGTGTCTTCTGTTATGGACATCCACAGCCCCCTTACAATGTGCATCTGACTGCCCTCTAGTCTTTGCCATATTGACTTTCTTTCTCCATTTCCAACCTTGTTAGTTCTCCTTATTCTCAAAGTGCACCCACCCTGCCTGCCCGAGAAGTTTGCCAAGTGCACTTTATATGCACCATCCTTCTAAATTAATGACATCACTAAAAGGCTTGCTACAATATAAAGTTTGCATCTTGTCCAATATCCTAAGTGCCTTTGTGCTCTACTCCCCCCACCCGCTCCCCAAAAGGCTCAGGCCTCATTTATAATATCCTAAAATGGATGGAAAATTATCAGGCAGTTCTGGTCCAAGTCCAAATTAAGAAATTAAGGCAGACGGGGAGAAAGCGGCTGCCTGTCAGCAATATGTAAAAAGCTAACTTCTTGGCATATATTTCCATGGCAATTCAAGGTCTTAAGACAAAATATAATCAGCCCTGTCACACAATACAAATACTTACCCAATTTATTCCTCTGATTTCTAATATTGTCCAGTTCTTTGTTGAGCTGGTGAGTAAAGCTTCCTCGAGTATAAGCGTGTGTGCACGATCCTGGGGAAACAGAAACCATTGAAATTAATGACATTTGTTGCATGATCAGATATTGTTTAAGGCTTCTAACAATGATTATTTTTGTTCATTATTTATTATTATCAGTAAGTGTGCAGATCATTTTTCCTAATCAATGGACTAATCATTAAGTCTATATAATGTAAAAGAAAAGTTCCTATAGTCCTACTCTTTTGCTGTTCAACGGTCCAAATTCCAAAGTTAGAGAAAGAAAACAGACAATTTGTCATATTTGAGAAGCTTAAACCAGAAAATGTTCAGCTTCTTTGCTTGATTAAACAACCAAAACAATTAACTGACTATTAAAATAGCAGATTGTTTTGTCAATCTACTGTTTCAGCTCTAATATTGTTTAAACAAATAACATCACTTTATTACATGATATGTATACTGTATCTGTTAGACCAGTTAAGACACTCTTGATTCAGTTGGAAAACATCACATCAGAAAAAGTCCTAATGAAGAGGATGTTAAGTTCTCACTGTATTCATCTTACCTCAGCGTATGGTATTTGACTTATCTTTATTAAGAAGTCCCATCAAAACAAGTAATCCTTTTCAGAACATAACAATGTGATCTCAAACAAGTAAAAATAATCTCTTGTGTCAGGAGCTGTCTAGCACATGCCACAACTGGTTGAGTGGGCTGAAGAAGACAGCAAGGGATTCTCCAGGAAAACCACAAGGCCAGCTCATTTAAGGCTAATTTATCTATTTTACTCTGTTTTGCTTCCAGCTTGACGCACTAGCGTAAAGGCCCCTCGGAGCCAAAGTGGAAGAGTATCCATTTGCATCCCCTGGGGTGATTGGCAGATCAAGACCAATTAGTTCAGTGTTACACTGTTACTAGCGTGCAATAAAAATACCATCTTTCATCTTTGTTACAGGAGTGAAGGACCAATCACTTTGATCAAACCTTTTTCTTCCCTCTGTTATTACGACACGCCCTGTCTGGATGGGTTTAAGTAGGCAAGAGAGGTGAGATAGAAGTGGAGAGAGAGAGTTAACCGTCTTGTCTGTGCCCTCGCAGATACCTGTCCCAGGATCTAAGCAGGGGAAAGTTTGAACCCTCCGAGCAAATGCATTCACAACACAACAGGAAATGTCACGGACAGTTCAACAGGTCTTTTTTCAGAGATGAACTGAATAATCTGCCTCAGGGTAGCCTAGTCTGCTCAGCCGCAAGTGAGCTAATCTATCACCTTTGTGCACAACATATCCAAACATGGCCCGATCCATCACCCAGGACAGATAAACCATTGATCAAATCAACAGTAGGTCCTTAAACATACAGTATGTAATTTCTGCCAAATCAAAATAGGACAAAATGATGACGTGAAGTCGTGTGAGATCATGGGAATTGTTTTCTTCATTATTAAACAACCACCATCTAATTAAAATCTGTCTGACGTGAAATCATGTTCACAGACTAGGTAATATAATAAGGTTTTATTCACGTTACATTTAGTCACGCTCAACTTCCTTTCCTAACTCTCTGACGTATCTGACATATTCCATGTTTAGCTGGAAGTTATAGCAACTAGAGGAAAGCAAGGAAACTTGCCATACTGGAATAAAATTACAGATTTGTCTCGTTGTTTGTTGGAAAATTTTGGGATAATGAAAGTAAACTACTCCACAAAATATATGACATAGGTCTAGCGTTTTTACACATTTTAATGCAGAAATGTTACATATTATAGCTTTAATAGCAGTGAAAAATAGCAGGTCTAACTACAAAGCAGAACAATATCATCACTTGTTTAGGGCTGTAGAGGAAAATGGTGAGAATTTCAACCGCAGTATCTTCAATGACATCATTCCAAACTGAAGTTAAATATATCCTTCTCCTTCTGCTGGCAGCATCAAGTAAAAGACTGAGTTACAGCGAGGCAGAGATGCTGAGTGAGGCTTCTGGCAGCCAGGAAGGCCCAGAGTAATTCAACGTATCCTCTCCAACCTTCACCAGTCGAAAAATTACGTCATCCACACATATGCTAAACACCATGCTGAGACAACAGAGGCACTGGCAAGGTCATTGTGCCGCATAGCATCTGGACAGGCGCTCTGTTGCTCTACTATCAGCAAATCAGGGTCTTGAGAGGGCAGTGTGGACAAGTGTGGATGCCACATTGCCTGTGCTGCAGTATATTTGTGTACTCCGGTTACTAGATTGTACGTTTACAATATCTTCTAAGCTAATAACCAGTTGAAATCAGAAAAACAATGATTGTTTAATTAGGTACAATTTGTAGAAATTATGTGGAAGCCCGTTATTGCAATTTTGGGCTTAAAACATAACTTTTTATGTCTGTCCTATAACTTTTGTTCACTTAAGCCTAAGCAGTAAAACATAGGTGCAATATTGTTAAAGGAAATTGTAGAAATTGTTTCTCGTAAGTGTTAAAAGCTTATCTAATATTTCACATATCCATCATTGTGTTCTTTGGACAAGGAACACATACTCACTTGTCTAATCATTTAGAACCAGAACTTGTCTGATCTGCAAGATTTTAAATATCAACAATGTCATTACAAATGGGCAATTACATGCAGAGGGAGGACAACAAAAGGACCAGATGTGTGAATAAACATTGACGCATCAACTCATGTGGCTCAACAGTCCACATCTACAAACACAACCTGAGTAAGAGGATAATCTGTTAGAGGAGCTGGATGCAGAGCACAGGTGAAGCAAGAAGACAACATTGCTCGCCTCTGGAGTGTGTCCTGTGAACTGTTGCTGAACTGCCGTCTGCTCAGCGCTCTCGGCAGATCAAAGGAACGCCATTCCAGCCAGAGAGTGTGCATGTACATACAGTATGTGCATAAAAACATTCACGTCAACATCCTTTGCCGCTAACTCCCACCTTTTTAACGGGCGAACGTGGATTGCAGTTTGGCCTCTGTGCACACATTAAGATGTTGACCACAGTTTTCTTTTGCCTCACAGAGACTTGTAAAGATCAAACAGTGTTGGAGATGATAAGGAACAGATTACAATTATTCAGTTACTTCAAAGCAGGGCAGTTTGGAATGAGCCCTAAGGAACCATACGCATTGGTGGCAGTGTATGGCGGTGGCCGGTATAGCATTCAAAAACATGTGTTATCAGTGAGCGATCTACTTTACCTCCCTGGTTTGAAAGGATGCCTATCCTCTTCATTTACTCGCATCTGTACACTTGGTTGCGTGCTTGAGTTAAAATTAAAAGTCCAAGTTCAGAAGTTTTGGAACTTGGCCCAAATACTTCCTGCTTTTTGAGGTTATTCAACGTCAAACAAGGAATTTGGGAACACAGAAGGCTGAAACGTGAAAAGGAAATGCAGGCTAAAAACAAATAACACCGTCACCATCCTTAAACTCTTTAAACTCTGCCTTTGTGCGAGTCCAGAGAACAGCACAAGGCTTCTGGTCTCCTTTCAGAAGTCACTGAAAAGTCACTTTAATGTCCACAGGACCAAGCCACAAGTTGTTGTAAAATATTTCATTTCCATCCTATTACCGAGGCTACCATTCTAGGCCTGACATTAAATGAGGCAATCATTTCTTCTGCGGTGACAGTGGCAGTGGAGTGTCTTAAATGGATCCTTAAAAACTTCCTAAACATAAAATATGGTGGCTGCTTTGCCCTTTAGCAGAAAGTTATGAGTGTAAGACAGTGGTGGGGAAAGGCTAGTGTAGTGTGTGGATTTTTTGCCACTGTGTGTGTGTGTGTGTCTGGCTGAATTTTCAATGCTAATTGATTCCAGTGTGGCGCGCTCCATCACACCCAATAGGGCAGACCACCCCTCCCCTCCCCTATAATGTGCCAACACGTCTCCCACAGACATACCGTTTAATCTCCTCTGAAGGGCTTCCTCCTGCAAATGGATGCAGTAAATCTGCTCATCCAGGTCCTCCAGGATCTGAAGGGGAGGGAGTAGAGGAGGAAGAGATGAAATGGGTTATAATTAGGCCCAAAGTGGGACTGGAGAGATGGCAGATGGGAGGATGAGTTGGTGATGTATTTGTAGTCCTCTGTCGTGCATGTCAATGGTCGACCGAGACACACATCTTTTAGAACGGAGGAGCAAAGTGGCTTCAAGTCTGAGAGGAACTGTTCAAGTTCAACTCGGTCTTTCAGAGAAAACTTCTAGTTTTACATTTCCCCTGACCAAACCATTTACTACATTTTACCAATTAACACCCATGAATATTGTTTACTTACTGTTGGCTTTACTAGTAACTGGCCCATGACGGTGAACATCCTGGACAATCCCACGGGAGTGCACACTTCATGAGACAGAAAACGGCACGATCAGCTTGATTGTTAACCATAATAAGGAGAACTAATTTAAATTGATGGTACTTAAACACAACATCAGCCACGTTATTTTGTTTTTTTAGTGTGTACGAAAGAAAATGAAATGGCTTACTTAATAAAAGCAGTCCTCCCATCAGAGATATGCAGGAGTAAAGGTATGGTAGGTAAAATTCCCAAAGATCTACAGAAATAAATACATGAAATTTAATAAAATATAGACTTAAAAAGAAATAGTTCATCATTTTGGAAAATATACAATAAATAGTTCCAGCAGGCAACTCCTAGTAAAACCCGACTTTGTATTTTATATTTTGATTTGAGAAGGGTTTAAACAAATGAGATATAATGTG